TTTCTGGAAGACTCCTTTGAGGTAAGGACAGAAAGAAGAAAATTCCAACTCATAGCTGGACAGATTCCTACAACAGAAACATGACAAATTCTGCCAACAGCACTTCACTGCAGAAGGTGAAAAGCTGTACGTTCCTAGAGTACTAGCATCTAGCACGAACCACTCAACTCTCAATCATTTTCCTCTCCCCATTTTGTTTCTCTGGGACAAAATACCAACCAGACAGGATACATTAGGTCTGACTGACTTTCAGAACTTCACATCTATCTGAAGAAAACTCACGTGTCTTGGAGCATTCAAGAAATTAAGTTCTGCCTTCCTGCATGTGAGGCTGAAAGGCATGTGTGCCTGACTGATAGACCAAATGCATAAATTCACAGAGATCTACCTGACTTCTTCAATAATCACAGAATCACAGAATGTTAGGGGTTGGAAGGGACCTCCAGGGATCATCGAGTCCAACCCCCCTGCCACAGCAGGACCATCTAGTCTAGGGCAGCTCACACAGGAACCCATCCAGATGGGTCTTAAAAGTCTCCAAGGAGGGAGACCCCACAGCCTCCCTGGGGAGCCTGTTCCAGTGCTTTGCAACCCTTACAGTACAGAAGTTCTTCCTCATGTTGAGGTGGAACTTCCTGTGCTCCAGCTTGGATCCACTGCCCCTTGTCCTATCGCAGGGTACAAGTGAGAAGAGATTGTCCCTTCCTTCCTGACACCCAGACTGCATGTATTTATACGCATTCATTAGATCCCCCCTTAGTCTTCTCTTCTCCAGACTAAAAAGCCCCAGGTCTCTCAGCCCCTCCTCACATGGCAGGTGTTCCAGTCCCCCAGTCATCCTCGTAGCCCTTTGTTGGACTCTCTCAAGTAGGTCTCTGTCCCTCTGGAAATGGGGAGCCCAGAACTGGACACAATACTGCAGGCGAAGTCTCACAAGGGCAGAGCAGAGGGGGAGCAGGACCTCCCTTGTTCTGCTGGACACACTTTCCTAAACCCACCCCAGGATACCATTGGCCCTCCTGGCCACAAGGGCACACTGCTGTCCCATGGACAACTTGTTGCCCACCAGGACTCCAAGGTCCCTCTCCATGGAACTCCTCTCTAGCAGATCACCTCCTAACCAGTATGGCACTGATGCATTTTATTCCTCCTGCCCAGGTGAAGGACTCTGCACTTATTCTTGTTGAACCTCATTAGGTTCCTCTTGGCCCAGCTCTCCAGTCTGTCCAAATCTCGCTGAATGGCTGCACAGCCTTCAGGCGTGTCAGCCAAACCTCCCAGCGTCGT